TGGATCAAATGCACCTTAGTTGTCAACGTGCCAGCATTACTTTTTAATACTACAAAGAGTTCTTTTGTAGCAGGTTTGCCCCATTCTGCTAGCTATAACATCTCCATGAGCCCGAGCCAACTCAACCCAGCAACTAACACACCAGTGAGCCCAGAAGCTCTAGAAAACTAAACGGAGGTGGAATTGTGCCTCCACTTTCTCAAATTTAAACATCCACCCATTCACACAAGCAAACTCATATCAAGTTTGGCAGTCCTGTTGAAAATATTTACAAGTGGAAATGAGAAGAGGTGGTAAAAATGGACAAGATCGAGTTTGCAAAAACAAAACAAAACACAGACTCATTGCCGTTAAGTCAATTCTGACTCATGATGCAATAGGAGAGAGTAGAACTGTTCTCTAGGGTTTCCAAGACTGTCCATTTTTATGGGGGTAGAAAGCCTCATCTTTCTCCCTTGGAGCAGCTGGTGGTCTTGAACTGCTGGCCTTGCAGTTAGCAGCCCAATGCTTAACCCACTTTGCCACTAGGGCTCCAGAAGATCAAGTTGGTTTTAAAACAAAGGGGAAAAAACCCCGCTCAGGTGAGCCTAAAATTAAAATGCACCCAAGATACAAATCCTATGAGGTTTTTTTTTCACAAGGACAAAACACTGGTAAGTTCTTAACTGTGAGTATGCCGAGAATAATTTTCATTCAAACATGGGAGGAGAGTGTGTCTTAGGAGTCGAAGACAGGCTGTGTTAGTCTGGGTGGATTTGAAAGAGCTTTATATACAAGAGCAATTGAATATTGAGAAAACAGCCTAGCCCAGTCCAGATCAAGTCCATAAGTCCAGTATTAGCCCATATGTCCTATACCAATCTATAAATTCCTCTTCAGACTCATAAAACACACGCAATGATGCTGAACGCAGGACAATCACAGGCGAGTGGGTGGAAAGTCTTGTGGGTTCAGTGGCATTGTGAACCTCTCAGCGCTGGCAGGAGTCTCCACATGGCTCCTTCAGCTCCAGGGCTCTAGTGTAGCTCCGTGTTTCTTGTTAGCTGCAATGTCTCCCAGGGAGTGAGCGTGTGCCCCGCCTCCAATGAGCTATTTCTCTCCTTAGAGCCTCCAAATGAGGTCACCAAGCTGTGACTGATTGGCAGGCTAGACTCCACCCCTTTACTTGTAAGTCTCAAATTGACAACAGATTATGTATCTACCACACGGGCCTTACTTAGTAGGGTTGGGAACATCTGGAAGTGCCGTCAAGGATTTGTGCTTTTCTTTCTTCCGAAAAGTTTGGGTCCGATTCTGGTCCAGATGGAAATCAAACTGAAGGGGCTGCTCTGAAGTCACCTAAGATGGAAGGTACCTCCAAATCCACAGAGCTTGCTAACCCTCTGGTGGCAAAGGAAGGCAGGAGGCGAGAGGCCAGTGGGGAGAGTTAGGAACCACTTAAGAACGGAGGGGCTCAGATTTCTCCCCAGCCTGTAAGGAAATATCCTGACAGCTCAGACATCAGGGGCTGGAAAAAGATCCTATCGGGAGTAGAGCTTGATGGGTGGAGAGGTACAAGGTGGGCTTGGGACCAAAGCAATGGTTTCTGCCTCAGCCACCTACAGAACCGTGCTGGTTTTTCCTTTTCCTCCATGTCCTCCCAGCCTTGTCAGTCTTCAGCCAGCTCCACAACCCCATCCTGCAAAGCGAAGAAAGAGCAGCAGCCCCCTTTTTGACACTGCGAGTAGCCCTCATGGGGATGCAACTGATCAGAAACCCCTACTCCTGCTTTCTCAAGTTCCACCCTGGCCATGAGCAGCCCTGGTGCTGCCCCCTCCTACCCACCCACCCCAGCTCCCGTGGGCATTTGTCTCCTGAATCAGTCAACTGTTGTGAGCTGCCATTGAATCAGCCCTTGTGTCATACTGACCTCATGCACATGGAAGGAAATGCTGCCCCGTCCTGCGCCATCCCCACGGGGGGGGGGGGGGGGGGTGTTGGAGATTGGACCATTCTGATTTATAGGGTTTTCCATGGCTGGTTTGGGACAGTAGATCATCAGGCCTTTCTTGCTAATCCTGTCTTTGTCTAGCAGCTGTGTTGGAACTAGTTTAGCAATGTAGCAACCTGAGGTACAGTGACTTGAGCCCAGGTCTCCTACATGTTAGGGAAGAGTTCTACCACAGAGCTGCCTCACCTCCTTTGAATCAGTTAACTAGAACCACACTTATGCTGGATTCCAAACAACTCCAGTGATCGTTTTCTGAGTTTCCAGGTATCCCTCCAAGGCTGGACATCCCCTGCTGGGATGAGCAGGCTCTCCTGGAAATGTTTTCCCTGTGACAGTGCAGAGGCATAAATAAGCAAGCAGAAGCCTTCAAGACCAAGTAACCCCTGCTACTAGGTGGCATGCAAAAGCTGGACAGTGAATATGGGAGGCCAGCCAAGAAGTGATGCCTTTGAGTGACAGTATCAATGAAGAATATTAAATAGATCATGAACTTGGGAGACACCAAGATCAGTTGGCATCATATAGTCCACAGAGATGTTTTACATTCTACTTAGGTGAATAGCCCCTGGGGTCTTAAAAGCCTGTGAACAGACAGCTAAGGTGCCACCGTTGCTCTCTCTGCCTCTGGAGGAAAGAAGAGTGAAGACAATGGAAGACACCTGGGCACAGTTGTCCAATGGGCTAATGGACCATGAGTACCTCAGTCTCCATCACCCTGAGACCAAAAGAACTAGATAGTGTCTGGCTACATTCCCTAGGGCTCGAAAAGGGATTACATTAGAAGTTCTTAGATAGATTGAAGGGAACATTAGAAGGACTTATGTAATAGAATGGGGGGTGGGGGAATTCCAAATTGTAAGAAGACCAGGCTTACTAGACGGAGACTGGTGACACCCAGGAGACTATTGGCCTTAGTCACCCTTCAAGCCTGGAATGGCACTTAGCTCTGTGGCACAATAGGCAGGTGAATGAGGGAGACAATAACACTAGGGAAGAACTCACACACGTTAAAATAATCATTTGAGATCCAAAGAGCAGAATTTCCCCAAGGACAAAGGTTCAGAAGGGTTTGTAGAGGAGGAGGAATGGAAATGGGAAACAGGCAGCGAGATAAGTGATGCTACATTAGGAGGATGGTAATCAATGTCATGAACTGGATTGTATATGAATTGTTTAATGGAAAACTGATCTACGCTGCAATTTTTCACCCAATTTACAATAAAAAGTTCACATACACACACACACACACACACAGACACACACACACAGACTGCCAGGAGAACAAACAAATCTATTTGTCTTTAGAAGGAGAGCCAACATGCCCCTTAGAACCCAGGATGGGGAGCCTTCCTCTCATGTACTTTGGGCGTGTTATAGGAGAGACCAGTCCCTGTGAAAGGACATCCTGCTTGGTCATCCCAACAAACGAAGAACCCGGCATGAGATGGACTGACACGAAGACCACCATTCTGAGAGGAGTACGGAACCAGACACAGTGTTGTGTTGTACATTGGGTCACTGTGAGCCAGAGTCAACTCAACGTCACTAACTAACAATGACATTAACCAAATGCTAGCATATGAACAAGCCCAAAGTCATAGAATAAGCAAGTACATCCCCTTCCTTTACTGGAAGCAACGGCAAAAAGCCACTTAGACCGGGATGCAGGGCTGGGTAAAAAATTGGAAGGAAATAAGCAATCTCTTAATCAACATTAGTCAAATCAGCTTCACATATGTTACTGGGGTATCTTCCGATCTTGTGTTTGGTGAGGCCCAAAGTTCAATTCTTACTGTAAAAAGCGGAGCCTGGCGATGGGGTGGGCCTAGGAGCAATCAGTAGATCTTTTCTGCTTTCCTTTACTGCCCCCACCTCATGTGCTCCTAGTTAGTTTTTTTTAATCATTTTATTGGGGGCTCTTACAATTCTTATCACAATCCATACAGATATCCATTGCGTCAAGCATATTTGTGCATTTGTTGCTATCATCATTCTCAAAATATTTGCTTTCTGCTTGAGCCCTTAATATCAGTTCCTCATTTCCCCCCTCCCTCATGAGCCCTTGATAATTTATTATTTTGTCACATGTTACACTGTCCGACGTCTCCCTTCACCCACTTTTCTGTTGCCTATCCCCCAGGGAGGAGGTTATTTGTAGATCCATGTGATCGGTTCCCCCACTCTCACCACTGGTCCTGAAGGGATCATCTGCCCTGGATTCCCTGTGTTTCCAGTTCCTATCTGTACCAGTGTACACCCTCTGGTCTAGCCAGATTTTTAAGGTAGAATTGGGATCATGATATTGGGGGGAGGTAGCATTTAGGAACTAGAGGAAAGTTCTATGTTTCTTTGTTGCTACCCTGCAACCTGACTGGCTCATCTCCTCCCCGTGACCCTTTAGTATGGGGGTGTCCAGGTGCCTACAGATAGGCTTTTGTCTCCACTCTGCACTCCCTAGTTCATTCTTAAGGGACTGTGCAAACCACCTTTACTGCTCCTTTTCCGCACAGTCCAGATTTGGGAGGATCATGCCTTTCAGTGGATTTTCCCTCGAAAGCACCCAATGTTGCTGTGTGCTGTCAACTTGATTCTGGTTTACAGCAACCCATGTGACAGTAGAACTATGCCATCAGGCGGGGTTCCTAGACTGCCATCTTTTTTTCTTTTTCTTTGGCTGCCAAATTTCGGGACACACATTGCCAGGTCTTTCTCTAGTAGAGTTGAGCCACTATATGGGCTTGAACTGCCAAACTTACAGTGAGACGCTGAGCATTCAACTATTGTGCCACAGAATAGGAATATATTAATGATCAGTCCCAGCTGTCCTCCCAATATGGGCAGGGCACTGAGCCCAGATCATCTACTTTATTCACTCCCTCCTGCCTGAAACAGGTGACAAAGCACTGCCCTTAGCACTTCTTATGGCTCAAGTAACCTGAAATGACTTCGCCTGAGAATATTGCCCCATGCTTGCACTAAATAGCCACACTTTGTCTGCTTGACTCTGCAGGTCTGTGCAATTCGGCTGATAGCTGGATGATCGTGCCCAACATCAAGCAGAACCACTACACGGTGCATGGTCTGCAAAGCGGCACCAAGTACATCTTCATTGTCAAGGCCATCAACCAGGCAGGCAGCCGCAGCAGTGAGCCTGGGAAGCTGAAGACGAACAGTAAGTGACATGAGCTCCAAGAGCTCACTTCTCTCACCTGGTTTCCTTTCGGCTGCCTCTCTCCCCCTCACTATTCTCTCTGTCCCGGGCCTCCTGGCCAAAGCAAGCAGAAAGCTAGTGTAGGGTTCCCAAACCGACTCTGCCCCCTTTTGCCACTTCTGCACCTCCATGCGGGGCCTGTATTGATGACAGATCTGATTATTTCCCATATCAGAAGAGCAGATGAATAGCAATTCAGAAATTCTCTCTTTTACATCAGCTATCTCTCTGGCCTGTGGGTCTGAGGACTTTTGGCAATGTCAAAAGTTCTGGTGGCATAGTGGTTCTGTGTTGGGGTGCGATCTGCAAGGTCAACAGTTCAAAACCAGCAGCCACTCCATGGGAGAAAGACAGAACTTTCTATTCCCATAAAGAGTTACAGTCTCAGAAACCCAGAAGGACAGTTCTACCCTGTCCTTTGAGGACAGGATAGCTGTGAGCTGACCTCGACTTGATAGCAGTGAGACAGCTTATATGGTCACAGTGGGGGGTGGTGGTGGCGGTTACTACTGGCATTAGTGAGCAGAGACCACAGTGCACAGGACAGTTCCCACCACAGATAATAGTCCCATGTAGCATGAGTATGTCTTGAGGTATTGTCAGTTCCCCCCTCGTGTTCCTGTCCATGTTTGTTCTGCTTTTCCCATTTCGTTGTTAACAGCTTTTCATCTAGAAATGGTCGGTTAGGTTGCGTGGTGTTTCTTTGTGGCAAGAGGTCTCAAGAGAAAGCAAATTGGAATGTGTTACTATCACGCCATGCAATGAGGTTGCCCGCCAGTCAACAGGAACAGTTCATTGCTTCTCAAGGGGAGCCTCCACGTAACCCATATCCTTGATCCCCCAGCACCTGATGGAGCACAAGTTAGGTCTCAGAGGCAGCAAAGGGATGGGTGTAAAGAGACTACTGTATGAAATCCGTCATGTGCTACCCACCTGGCCTTGCGAATTTTTTCTCTCTCTTTTTAAATAAGCTTTTTATTTGGGGAATAATTTTAAGCACACAGAAAAGTACCATTCTTCACCTTGATATTAACTCCCCCTGATGTTAACATCACGTAGATACATCACTGTGATAGATTTGTCGCAGGTAAGCTGTTAGCATCAGCGCATTATTCTTAACCCAACTCGAGATTATGCACCTTTCACCAGTTTTTCCAATTGTACCTTTTCCCATTCCAGGGTCCCCTCTAGATCCCATCTTGCCTTTTGTGTTTCTTTCCTTTTAAAACGATCTGTCACAAAGACAAGCTTAGAATAATTCTAACTGAATGCATAAGAAAATATCAGTTTCTTTGTGACCATACAGCCTATACAGCTTTTATTTGGTTTGCATTCAATTGTGTAATTTATTCTTTCACAAAGTATGTTCAGTGCCTAGTATATTTGAGATGTTGTGCAAGATGCTGAGAGAACTGTGACAACCTGAACGCAGTCGACTCCTTAATATGTATTTGCCTCGAGAGCTCTATATACTATTAGTGAATAAAGCCCGCCAATCCTTATTAGTGTCTTCATTAGAGTTCTCTAGAGAAATAAAACTAGTAATACATATACATCAGAGAGAGAGATCTTAAGGAATTATGGGGTGGAGGGGCAAGTTCAAAATCTGTAGGTCAGGTAACAAGCTGAAGTCTTGTCCCAAAATTTGTCAGACAAGAAGAAAAGAGTAAGCATTCATTGTGTAAATGAGACTGGAAATAACTTGCTAACTGTTCAAGACACGTTCATATTTAAGATGCATACTTTTAAATATTAAACATACTTCACTTCTCAATATTTCTGCTGGTAAAGATTAAGTAGGAAAAAAGGAATAAATCCATAGAGGTGAGATTCTGCAAAGCCTGCCTCTAAGACCTCTGATCTAGGCTTCATACATTTTTTCTCAAGATAGTTTCATTGATCGGGAGTGGCATAATGCAATTAGGGAAGGCAAGGGCATGTCATTAACCTTTGTCCAGTGCCTGCTTTCCTGACTTGTTACTTTCATAGAGATCTTGATTATCATGAAAACAAAGCCAGCAAATGCTTTTGAAAGTTGTTTATAAATTTGAAATTGCTCTTCAAGTATCACCTTCGAATAGAGAAGACATGATCCAGGGAGAGTTGACTGGTCCCCATTTTAAAAATCTGTTTGTGAAAACGCATTCTTATACATGTCAATGAACTCTTTCTCATCTCTTTTTGTTTTGTGAACTCATTTCTAGGCCAACCATTTAAACTGGACCCCAAGTCTGCCCACCGGAAACTGAAGGTGTCCCATGATAACTTGACAGTGGAACGTGATGAGTCATCATCCAAAAAGAGTCACACGCCTGAGCGCTTCACCAGCCAAGGGAGCTATGGCGTAGCTGGAAATGTGTTCATTGATAGTGGCCGCCATTACTGGGAAGTGGTCATAAGTGGAAGCACATGGTAAGCAATTTATATCTATTGTCCTCTAGTTGTGAAAAGGCACCGTTTATTCTGTACTTTGTAAGAGCCTCAACCAACACCAGCATTCCTTGTGAACAATAATATGCCAAGAAGATATATCAGTCAACTATTTGTACAATCAAATTGTATAACAAATACCTCAGAAACTCAATACAGCTTCAGACAATTATCGTATATACTCGTGTATAAGCCGAGTTTTTCGGCACATTTTTAATGCCGTTTTTTGTGGTAAAATGAGGTGCCTCGTCAGATACTCGGATTAGCTTATACTCAAGTGTTTACGGTATTCGTTCTTGTTCACTCACCCATTCCTAAGTTAGGTAATCAAAGTTAAAACTTCAGTAGGGCTCTGCTTTAAGTTGTAGATTGTGTCTAGGTCTGTTCTGTGGGGTTCCTTGTGCCACTTGCACCACTGGGCTACCCATAGTGGCTAAAACCAAGATCATTGACCAAAGCAAGTCACATGGTTGAGTCCCAAGCCCGTGGTGCAGCAGAACATGACTCTTTGCCAAGCAATCAAGTCATTTTTGGTCCACTCTTTTTTTTTTT